AAAAAAAAAGTGGTAAGAAAGAATTTTGGTGAGCCTATTTGATGCAATTCTCTCTGATTTTACTCAAACATGCACCACTGTCTCTAACATTCGAGACAAGAAGTTAAGGCACAATTTCTGAGGTGATACGTCAGAGGAAATGGTACCTGTGAAGACGGAGACATCATTGTGTAATAATGTGACTGATTCTCCAAAGGCTGCTTATTACTTTGTAAGATCATCTGGAGTCCACAGAAAATCGAGATTATTTTAAATATGAACTCTAGTCATATTCCATCCCATCCCTACACTTGAACGATAGCGCATCTGAGCTGGCCTTTGTCAGATGTGCAGCGGCTATGAGGTGGCCCCACTAGACTGTGGGGCAGCCAGTGACTATATTGTATACACAGCTTACAGCTTACATTAAACTGACACATAAAAGCCATTTTGTGTTGCTGCTTTAGTTTCTCCACCCTCAGCCTGACTAGCAACACCAAGATGTATAACCACACATATCAACCTAGAACTTTGCCCTGTCAGGCATTGTCTCTGAAAGTCTCTTTCTCCCTCCTGTCGTCCTTAGCGGCACGATCGCTGAGTGAGTGGCTGTGTTATTCACGGATGTGTGCGGCCATCATCCTGCAGGAATGTGTCTGTTTCTGTCCTTGACTCACTTTTTTCTTTCTTCCTTTCTTTTTCTCTCTCTTCCTCCGTCTTAGTACCAGCCAGAACTTTTCTGTTTAACTCTATTATTTTATTCCTGAAACACTCCGAGTGCTATTCAGAGAAGACAGGTCGGCACAGAGCACCTCGAGCGCTCAATGCTGTGTAACAGGATGCGCTCCCGGAAAAATTTCAGATCCAGACAGCACTGCTGTCCTTCACTTCAGTCAATGACAAAAGGCAATATTTTTTCCTTTTGAATTTTTGACAGAGGTAGCTCAGGTAATGAGCAAAACGAGCCCTGAATGCGTTTTGACAGATAAAAACGATCATAAAGAGAGACTATGGCAAACACTGTAGAAAAGTAGGACTTGACATTGACAGTATTTTTAACAAAAGTCTGTATAAATATCAGGCACTGCAGACTCAGATAAGAGAAGCATGTTTTCATGGGGCGAGGTTGCGAAAACCCAAATATTATATTGCCAAAGAAATGAAGAGTAGAATTACACAGGCATTGAAATATTTCCACTATTACAGCTCTAACTACCTATTTTTCATGTTTTTCCTCCTCTTACAGTTTACGTCTCTGTGGCTGGGTGGCAAAGCTAAAAACATCATTATTAGTTGTTATTCTAATAACATCTTCATATTAGCATTTCCCCTTTTACACACGAGAACTTCGGAGTTTCGGAAAGGTTAAGTGATTTGCCCAATATGGGTCAGTTTGCAGATTTTGGAGTCAGATTCAAGTAGTGATCTTTTGTCTTTTTTTACTCTTTCATTGTCACAGCATGACATTTCTGAATGACATCTGTTAGACTCTAAATATTACAGGAAACATCATACCCTTCAGCTTATCTTGGATAACTTCTACCTCAAACTGAGGTTCACATTTCCATAAAACTGCATTTCTCCCTGTCTTTTTAAAGCTGCACATGACCTAAATGTTGAATCCCAGACTGACTTGTATTTGTTCTATACCATCCGGAGATACCTGAAAATATACACATTTTAACCTAGAAAATTGATTTCTGTTAAGCATAAGACATGCACGGACACACAAACACACCTTAAATTATACTTTACAGTGTACCATTATAAAGAAAACAATAGTTTTACAGAATAAAAGTAACTATGGCAACCTATAGATTCAAACCAGGCTGCCTCCGAGGCGGCAGTTCCCAGTTGCCTCAGTAACTTTCCATTAAAATGTCTCTCAAACACATGTTTTGGGGAAGCATTAGCTGAATTTCCTACTTAACGTTCTCAATTTAATTATCCCTTTCAGTGTTAATGATGAAAATAATCTGATCACACAAAAGTCTTTGGGGAGGTCTATTTCAGTACAACCTTCTCAGCCTCTTGCATTTCGGAGTCCTGCCTAACTAACATTGGGAGATCTATCGTTTGATATCCATTGGTCAGGAGGAGGTAAGACAGAGCCAGGAGCTAATAAACAGTTTTAGTGAAAGAAAGCTGCTCATGTTGGCTACTGATTAGTGATCCTGACTTGTCCCCTGTTGTCACTGCTCCATAACCCCCCCAACACCAAAGTTTATGGAGTACAGATGGTTTAGTTTAGGGTGATGGGAAATGACTACAATCTGCAATCTCCCCTTAATTCTCAAGTAAGGCTGCATTCCATAATGAGGTTCCAGATCCTGAGGATTGGCTTTAAATCACTGTGGAATGAGAAATGGCAACAGTGACAAGTTCACCTCAACAAATATTTATTGTGTGCCCACAAGGTACAAGGCAGCGTGGCCCATCCTCCTACAGAGCACAACAGGTGAATGAGAACTGGATTTTGCTTTCAAAATATGACCGAGAACGATAGAAGCAGGGGAGTGGGGGTGGGGATTTAGCATGTAGGTACGCATGATAAAATAAGGAAACTACAGGTATAAGGTTTTTAGTGTTTGAGTTAAGTGACGTCTTCTTCGAGGAGTTTTAGGATACAGCATGGTTACACATTTGGAAAAAGAGAAATAAGACATGCAGAATAAGCGAGTTGTCTGGGGTATAGGTTGTGCAGGGAGGCATACTGGGAGAGAAGTCGGGGTAGATCAGACAAGAATAATGTTGAGAAAACCTTAGTAATACAGCTTGGAACTTATTTTTAATTTCCTAATCAAACAAGAATCACTGAAATTTTCTGTAAAGGAGTAGAATAAAAGTTAATCTGTAATTCTGAAGGTGACTGCTAGACTTTCGTAGGGAGAAAAAAAGCATCAGAGAGGGGTCCCTGGGTGGCTCCGCAGGTGAAGCGTCAGACTCGTGATTTCGACTGATTGTGATCTCAGGTTTCCTGAGATCAAGCCCCACACTGGGATCTGCACTGAGCATGGAGCCTGCGTAAGATTCTTTCTCTCTCCCTCAGCCCCTCTCCCTTGCTTGTGCTCTAAGTATTTTTTTTTTTAAATAGCAGTAGAGATGTATAAAAATAAATAAACCAGAAAAAAATGAAGGCTTGAAATTAGGGTAGTGCAATAGAAATGACAAAAAAGACAAACTTGAGGAGTGCTCACAGTGGTGACACTGGCAACAGACTGTGTCTCGGAGGTAAAAGCAAAAGATGAATGGAAATAGGCCATTTATGGAAGTGATATTAACATGACCAGTGAAGTAATTCATTCACTCATCAGATGTTTACTGAGCACTTATTTTGTTACTTTTTGTCAGGCACCCTCTGCGAGGAGCCAGAAGAGGTTCAGAAGCTGGTTTAGTGAGACGGTAGACTTAATTTTATACACAGAGGGTTGAAAATGCCAGAATATTCAAGCCGTCCATGGTCAATCGAGACCTATAGTTTAGGAGCGTCCTTGGTTCGGAGTTACCTGTAAAAAGAGAGGTCACCGACGCTGTGGAAAGGGGCGAGCTCTCTGAAGTACACTTTTTCTGTGAAGTAGAAAAATTCTCAGAACGAAGAGCAAGTTCAAGAACAGATGTGAGAAAAGAGCTATCCTGCGCTTGGGAGTCTGGAGGAACACAACTTATTCACAAGGAGGTGGTCAAAAATGAATGAGAGGAGAGCCGACACGAGGCGGTGCGGCGTCAGGGAGATAAGCAGCGTTTCAAGCAGCACAAACCCCTGGAAATTCCAGAGCATCAGCTTTTCAGTGGGAGTGTGGAGGGTGAAGCTGGAGAAGAGGCTACCGGTTAGGTCATTACCCAATCTATTTCAAGAAGCCTTGTTGGCAAGTGAGTAGCTAGAAGCCAGAAGCAGATGGGGGGAATGGAGACAGAAGATCGGCTGGGAAGATAAAGAGCACAATGGAATGGTAGTTTGACAGGTAACAAAACTGAAGACAACATAAGCTACCAGTTAACATTTTGTTTGATGAATCACGTGCCAGGCAGTGTTCTAAGTACTTGACACTTTCTAATGCATTTAGTCCCTAGACAATTCATGACTTCCGGGAAAGATACTGTGTTCTATCTTTCTTACAGACAGGGAAGCTCAGACACTTGACTAGACGAAGACGCTTGCCCTACCTCACCCTGTTAGTTTGTATTCCTTTGAACTCAGCACTCTGACTTCAGAGTCCCTTAACCACTCTGTAATGTTGAGAGGCTAGTGAATGCTTACACAGGTTTATGGGATGAAAGGAAATATGAAGATAGAGAGATGGAATAATGGTTGAAACAAGCTAAAAGGGGGATGGGATAAGGGGGAACTCCTTTGTGGGAGGAACCCCAATAAGTTCCCTGCAGCAAGGGTTAAGAGAATACACGGAGGGAGACATGGAGAGATTTTTAAACTCAGGGGCCCACAGCTGTGGGGGTCTGTATTGGGCGACTTTTTTTTATCCTTTTGGTAAAGCAAGAGGTGAGGTCAATGGCTCCGGGTGCTAAAAGGGGACCTGTTCTTACGGTACACAGAAAGAGCTAAGGGGGAGACTCTCTATATACCTCATTATTTATCTTGCTTTATCAATGAAAGCTTATTCCACAGTGGAAGGGCAAGGATGGACCATTAGGTATACAAGGACCTGTCAACAAGTCCTACCCAGACATACATATACATCATGATGGAAATACAGAGGACACTTCAGCTGTGCAGACCTGAGTGCTAGGTGGTCCCTAAGAACTAAAAGGCAACTTCTGATCTCTTAGATATTCTACTTTCTTTCTCTTTCAAGTGGCTTCAATGGCAAACAGAAACATAAAGTGCAGCCAACCTAAATCAACAGCATATTGATGTACATTTTTCCTTTGTGGGTTTTTTCCCATCTCTTGCAAGAAGTGCTTGCTATTTAAAATCTGTTACTAGGTGATGGTGGCAAAGCACATTTTTCTCTCTTCCCAAGTCAACCCTACACGTGTCACTGTGTGTTTGCAAGTAAAAATACCTGTTGCCGTGCACATGAGAGGCGCAGAATGCAAAGCTGTAATGGAGCAGGGTTGGGTCAATGACAGCACCGTTTTCTGAATGTTCCATCAGTTCTGTAAGGTAGCAGAGATGTCTGTGACAGCCTCTCACACCATAACGGGCACAGTACTCATCTAACACAAAGACTTGGCCAGGGCTAAACCAACCCTGCAAAAGAGAAAAAAAAAATTCTTTCTGTACTAGGATTTGCTTTTCCGTACGCACTCTTAGACATTATAAGAAGAAGCTGTGGCAAAGTGTCTCTTGTCATTTTTTTTTATTAGTAGCATGTTTCATGTTAATTTCAGAAAGCTAATGTCAACAGTTTGAACCTGATCTGAGACACTGGTAACCTAATACCATTCTCTCTTTATTGCCAAAGCACGACATGGGCAACCTGTTTTTCTCCACTGTCATTCAAAGTTAACCAAATGAATTCACAGTATCTAAATTATCAGTCACAAAGAATAACATTCTGAAAAACTTCGATCCCTGAATGAACCAATTAAGAAGAGAAGGGTAAAGCAGACACCATAATTGAAATTTCGGAGTTGCCACAGCATTTTTATAAAGTGAACTAAGAAAGTTCTAGTTAAGTCTGGCAAAAGTAAACACAGGCTATTTGGGAATTTACATATTTGGGACACTGTTCTCATTCTGTTTGTCCTTCTATGACCAATACCAATATAATAGAGTCAATGTTTTACAATAGTTTTTGGTTCTCTAGAAATGAGATGTGAAAGGGGTGTGTGTGTGTGTGTGTGTGTGTGTGTGTGTGTGTACGCGCATGTGCACACGCTCGTGTCTGTGTGTATGTGAGTCAGTTGAACCAGCAGGTAATCTGCTTGGCTAATACTGGAGGACAGGGTTAGACTGAGTTTGTTCATAAAATGTTTTGATGGATTATATGAACTAAGACAAAGGATTTTAAAAGGGGGCAGGATAACTGCACAAGAGGAGAAGACTGGTGAGAAATTCAGAAAGCTAAGACAGCAATAACACTAAGACGAAAAGGAGGAAAGAAAGCTCTCAAATACTTACCGTGGTGATGGTGCAGGCACTAAACTGGACACAAATATGACACGCTCTCTGTAATGTTACAGCCATCATGCCTGGTAGTCACTATGATCTCCATGCCACAGACACATAAGCTATAGTGCAGCGACATTTAGTGAATTGCTCAAGACACTGAAAATCGGTCCTTGGGCCATGATTTATATCCAGGGCCATCCTGCCTCCAAACGCCCTTTCTCATCACACCATGTTCACAGCCCTCTAGATGCAGCTGAAGACACACTATAGTGCTCTCCTCAGACTCCTGATGACAGGTGGGGTCACCCACATAACCAAAACAACTTTTGTAACTCAGGAACTGACTTTACTGAGTGGAAATCCACCAGAGAAACCCATTATTGATGTTCACTGTATGGTGCTTGTCCCTGGAAAGATACCATCAGCTTTTGCAATGATTTCACTCTCCATGTAATTGTAAAGTTTGGGCTGGATCAGGTTTAAACCATGCACTTGATGTACTTAATAAAGAATGTACAGATGATTTATCAAGACAGTAGGTTGTGATCATGGCAATAAGTTGTTTCAATCCTTCCTGTCTATTTGAATAGGTCTGATGAGCTTGGAGCACATCCTGCTAAAACCTTATTTTAAAAAGAATGTAGCTTTATTGTAGGTGGCTACCGTGTTCAGTAGCCAAGAGACTATGTGGTGATAGGAATAGGGATATTCAGGCTGGATACATTTCACAGGAACTGCCGTTGACGATATAAATCCTTGGAAAGGCACGTGTAATTCCTAGGCTACAGTTTAATGCCCACATTCTGAGGAGTCAAACATTCCTTCTACATGTAAATGGTATTTTAGATCTCAAATTTGGGCTGGTTTCTACACATAGAGAGGAGCAGTTTAGCTACTTGATTTAGTTTTTTAAGGAATTCAAATTATCTTTGGAAGGTTAAATGAAACCAAAGCATTCCTCTGTTACATGTTACCCTGTCATATCATTTATCTCACTGTTTCTTTCCCCTGCCACTTAGGCTGCCTTTCTAGAAACAAAAGAGAGAAACAAAAGATAGCAACATTTGGTGAGAATTTACACCTTAAAATGTCTATACAGGTGTTAGTAAATCCTATTCCAGAGGTTTTTTTTTTTTTTTTTTTAACCTTCATTAAAGCCTTTATTTTCATTCAGCCTTCTCCAGAGGGACGGATAAACCACAATTCAGCGTCTGCTTGAGTCTATTCTCCTGTCTATTGAGTGGCACAGCAGTGGTCTTCAAGTGTATAATTTTCAAATTGGGAAGCAATCGATTGGAATCCTTTATCCCTAACTCCCAACTACAGTTATTAAAGGGGTCAGGAATAAAATGCCGCTTCATAACAAGTGTTTCTCACTTTAAAAAAATCTTTCATTCTAACCTACAGGGAATGGGATGGACAGACTTGTACTCACCAAGCAAGAATAGGAATCATTCAGTCTGTGATCCAAAGTCTGCCTCTGGAGTATTCTAAAAAGGAAGGCGTGGTCAAGCTTGCAAGGATTAGCAGAAATAAACTCATCCATACCATGTTTCTGAAAACGGTCTGCATCTGTAAATTCAGAAAAGTATGTATGATAACACTTACTTTTCTGGCTTACTCATGGGCAAATACAGTTTTTGAACACAAAATGCATGCCTCATGATAACACACTATTTTCTATTACAAAAAACAGGATGCCAGGAATCCAGCATATTAACATAAATTGCAATTTTTTTGCAGCCTAATGAAAAATGACCTGGAAAAATCTGCAGATCATTTAAAATGGGGAAATTCTATTTTCACTCAAAGCCTTTTCTAATATTCATCACAGAAACAATCGTATTTTCCAATTTTAAGAAAACTAGATGCATTTCATGTATGTGTTTAAAGAAGGAGCTGACTGGAAAAGAACCCAGGTCTATTCATAAACAAACAGCGATGCCTAGAAGCTTCCTTTCCAAATGGCAAACTAGGGCAGAAATGAACACACAGGCTTCTGCTGGATCACTTCCAGTCTTTTTCTTTTTTTTTTTTTTTTTGAGCCTTTAATGGGACCAACCTTCATGTAGAAATGGCAATGACTGCTCTCAAGCTTCAAGTTTAAGAGATATGAAAAAGGGAGCATCATGTTTGTGCAAATACGCAGACAAAGCATAACGTCCCAAATGGCACTTCAATCAAAGGCCCAAATTTCTTTTTCTTTGCAGATTGCATCTTTCAACGCCCACAGACCCTGCGGGTTTATCAAAAGGCAAGCTTTTATGATTCCTTTCATTAATGGTATGTTTTGTCAGAGTCTTCAATGTGAGTTATTTACTAGGTAGAGAGAAAAAAGGCCACACATCACCCAAAAGGAGTGCTGGGGTGTTACTACATTAGCTCTGTTAGAAATGTAGCATGCATTGGGCAAGCAATCAGTTATCAGGGTAAAAGTAGACTCTCCTGACAATGGTAGAGCTGAGGCTCCATTGTTCTTTAAATTCACAGATAGATCTCATTCTGGTCATCATAAGAAGTAGAGTCCTAAATGCAAGCCAAATGTAATTTTTAAAACCTATATGGTACAATCCTAAAATTGCAAAGGAAGGAAGACAAAAGCTTATTGATTAAACGCAATTACAGAGTCAGACTCATAATAAAACTCAATATTGATCTGTGGACATGATGCTAACATAATCAGTCACATTTAGATATTTAGCCCAGATCATATTGATCCTATGTCAAGTTCAACTTTCAGCCATATTTGTGGATGGAAGAACTATGTAATTCAAGCTGAAGGGTCTTCAGAATCATATTAAAAAAAAAAGATCTCACATCAGTGCAGATGTGAATGTAGCAAGTAAGCAATGAATGGGTGTTCATCGATGATGTAAGGTATTGGGTTGTGATCTATGGAGAAACTACCATATGTATTCCCTTACATTTGCTAATTACTTAACTGAATGACCAAATGCATTACATGTGGTAAATTAGTATTAACTAGATGAACACCAAATGTTATTAAACTGCTTTTCCTGAATTGAGAGATGATCCAACCTCTCTTATACTTTATTTGTATGTCTGATAGTCTTTCAAAATAAAGTAACATATATAATAATGCAAAATAATATCAAATTAGTAGACAGCATATGGAAAAATGCAAGGCACATATTATAAAACTATTATTTTGCATTTTAAATAATCTTAGAATCTTCATTTCTCCATTTATTTGAGTAAAAAAATCTTTTAGTGTCATCTTTATGAAATTACTAGTTTTATAAAACATCTGCTGAATTTCATTATTTCTTTCAACAGAGAAAGTCATAACAAGAAGTTAAAAACAACACCCACTAAAGGCTTATCTGTTGAGAATAGGATAATATAATGAATTTCACAGAAAATCCATAAGTCTTTTACACTTCTACAAAATACATACATTATATTCATAAATTCAATCTACATAATTCTCTTTTTACTTCTACCTTTTATAGGGGTTTATAGAAGCAAATTCTTTTACTTTAAAGCAAAAGTTTACTGTCTTTAAAATCTACAAGTCCCTGAAAAAAGTAACTTATGATTCATTTCTGCAATCAAATCGTATTTTCAAAAATGAATTTACTTTATGAAGTATTTTCCTCATGAAATGCAACTCTAAACCATACATTTGCCTATGTGTTGAGCCCTTCTGAATCACACACATGAATGAAAAATTACTGTGCCAACAGTTAGCTTTAGTGATAAAAATATTCATGATAGCAGTTTAAGTCACAAAAACAGACTCCATATTGACAGCGATAAAATATGCAGGTCAACAATGTTCTATTAAAGAAAAAAATCCACAATCTCTCCAGGGCTGTAGTTCTATGAAAGTGAAATGTATTCTTAGGGACTACCCCATCTCCAAAATACAGGCTGTAAAGACCAAGCAGTTCTACTTTATGTCTGATAAGCACAATTTAAAATACTTGTTTGCAAATATACTTCACCATGTACCACTGATTTATTAGTTTCTATGAATTCGTAAAGAAATAAATTTTGAAAAAGCCATGGTTTTGATCTCTGTGTGAGAATTTCAGGAACTACAGTACAATAGGAAAATATCTATTGTTGAAATACTATATAGTTTCTTATTTCTGTAGAAGAATATTTTCATGTAGTTTCCTCTTGGTATAACATATCTACATTTACTCTTAGAAACTGCAGAAATATCATGTGGATCAAATGGACTGTGCTTTCAATCAATTACATAACCAAATGCAAAGCTTGGAGACTTGCTCTAAAACTGGGTTATACTCGATTATCTTCAATTAATGTTTATTATAACAAAATGATGGTGACTAGTTTTAAATGAAAAATTATTCACGGCACAAATCAAATGTTCACTGATAAGGACAAATTTCAGTTCGGTTTGTCTTCCGAAACAAAGTAAGAAAATCATCAAAAGAAACCAACAAGATACGAGCTTGAACAATGTACTGCAAAACTGTCATAAATTGTGATGATTAACCTATGGACTAACTACAGATGTGGGACATGGTAATTGAGGATACTGGTGGAGAGTTTCTATGGTAACAGTTGGATATATGCTCCAGCGTCTTTAGGTGGTACTGTCACCAGGTGTGGTCAAAGTGGATGGAATAAAATCCAAATAGAGAAAGATTATTATTTGCTATAGATTTATGGAATTAGAGAGGCTTATTCAAATGGAACCTGAAAATTTAAATTTTTCATTAGGGTAATAGCTGTTGGAAGTCCCGTGGAAAGAATAAGTAGGCTGACAGTACCAATTTAAACAGTTAACACTGACTTGAAAATAGCCTACAAAACCACGCGGGGACGATTAGCAGGCTGGTCGGCCCCCCTGTGGTGTCTGGGAGGGAGCTCTGTGGTGGGCACTGACCACAGCCAGCCCCTATGTACACAAGAAGGCGAACCCCAGGATAAGCATCTGAGGTCAGAGTTCAGGATGTAAGGGGGGAAAAAAATTAAAATGTATCTTCTTTTGCAACTAATTCTAAGGATGCTGTGTGTGTGTGTGTGTGTGTGTTGCTCTTGGTGTTGAGAGAAATTAGAATATAAAACAGGGGAGCAAAGGATGCGAGGGAGGGGGAAGCATGACCCTGCAGAAGAGGCGGGCATTCCTTAGCGTTCTGAGAACAGTGGTGTTCAGACCTGGGACTCAGGTACCAAAAGAACTAGGAAAAAGGTGCTGCTACCTATGGGCGCTTCTCCTCCTCTGCACAATCCAGAACTGAACTAAGCAGCATATGAACCTTTTCAAATACAATAATTTAATATTGTCCTATGGTTAAGAGTTTGCCGATAGCTGCATTTACCGATACCCACAACGGATTCTACTTTCCTTTTAGTCCAAACTTTCAATGCGCTTGAAATTTATAAGAAGTTAAACATAGTACAGAGAAGGACCACTTGCCATTTTATAGCACCCATGTAGCCAACTAACAGGGAGTTTTATGTTACAAAATTTTATGTAGATCTTGGTTGGTGTTTTTTGTTTTATGTATACACGTATTATTCTGAACACCAAAGAGAAATGTTGATACGTATATTAATTAGGAGTCTGTTCACACTTCTATTATTCACCCAAATAATTTCTTAGCTTGTTTTCGTTAAACTGATTAAAAAAGGATGTATGAATTTACACACCTTACTTTCTGCAACAAATAACAAATAAGTAATATTTTCACACAATTTTAATCAACACATACAGACCTAGAATCACAGGCAAAGCAAACCAATACTCAACATTTATTTGAAATAATATATTCAATGTAAAGTAAAACGTGCCTATGAAGTGTGAAATTTAACTTACTAGATTAATCAAGAAAATAAACTCATAAAATTAAATGTAAGCCTATATCCAATTTAAGAATTTTTTTTTAGAAATTTGGCTTACAATAAAAAGGTAACTTTTCTGGTTCTTTTTTTGACATTTATTATTGGAAGTGAACTGTGTTGTACTGTATTATGTTACATACATATTGTATTACATTACAATGTAATATGAAATGAAAAACAGTTGCTTTGCATAGAAAAAGACAGTTTAATCCAAGAATGCCTGTCAGTCTGGCAGAAGGCAATGTACTATTTGAAGCAGAGAAATTGGATAACAAGCAGACCCTCTACCTGTTTGGTTTACTCTATTTTCTTAGAACTTCTAAATATCCCGAAAGTTAAAGAAATAGGGAATTGGAACAGATCACTTACTAGAAAAATCTATAAATACATACCATTATTTATACTCTAAAGTAAGATTGTCTTCAAATAAGGTAGAATTTATAATTGTTTTTTCTGAATATCTCTAAACATTCAAAATGTTTAGTTTTAAAAGGTTTAATGTATAACATAAATACTTCAAAGATAATTCAGAAAATAGAGGAAATGAATTAGCAGCGACTCCCTTTGACTGAACTCCTACGCTGTGAATAATTTAGGTATAATTCCACCTATATTTATAAAACTGTTTTTTTTTTTAAATGTTTTTATTTATTTCTAGGGGAGAGAGAGAGAGAGAGAGAGACAGCGTGAGCAGGGAAGGGTCAGAGAGAGAGGCAGATACAGACTCTGAAATAGGCTCCAGGCTCTGAGCTGGCAGTCAGCACAGAGCCCGACGCGGGGCTCGAACCCACGACAGCGAGATCATGACCTAAGGGAAAGTCGGACGCTTAGCCGACTAAGCCACCCAGGCGCCCCTTATAAAACTGTTTTTAACATAATGAAAATATCATATACATAATTTAGCATTTTTCCACTTAACATTACTGAGTTGATTTTGCATGCTGTTATAATACCTTCATAGCCATGACCTTTATGCCCATATGAATGGTAGATATTACGTTGTTTCTACTTTTCTGTTGTGGCAAAAATAGACATTTTTGTTTCATAAATGTCCAAGTTAACCTAAATCTTTTGTGTTTGCCTAGAAAGTAGGAGACTGACATTACAATAAGACAATGATGTTCCTTCAAAATTCACATTATAAAAATTTTAATACAATGAAGCAAAAAAAAATCATGAAAACACTCACCTTTACCAGCTATAGGTAAGCAAAGGAATGAAAAAGCATATTTAAATAGATTAGGAGAATATTTATTTCTATAATTAGTCATTGTATTTTCATGTTCTCCTCTTAGGTTCTGTTAATGACTCTAAAAGTTGGTCTTCCAAGAGATGACCAAAAAAGAAGAAAACGGAATGCTATGGAAGTCACGGAATGGAAGAAAACACTAAGGGCTAACTACTCTCTGGATCCAATGGTTTCTCTGATAGAGGTAAAGATCAGTATTCTTTTTTACTTTAGTTTTTTAAGTAATTTATTGCCCTGTTAGCTAACATATAGTATATGTTATATATGTGGTGCATACACATATGTATATTTATATAGATATATTTATATATGTTATACATGTTATATATCCAGTATATATTATGGTAACATACAGTATATACTATGCAGTCTTGGCTTCAGAAGTAGATTCCCGTGATTCATCACTTACATACAACGCCCAGTGCTCATCCCAACAAGTGCCCTCCTCAATGCCCTCCTCATCTTCCATTTTCCCAGCCCCTGCAACCCACCACTACCATCAACACTCAGCTTGTTCTCTGTATTTCACTCTTTTATGGTTTGCCTCTCTCTCTGTTTGTAACTTATTTTCTCTTCCCTTCCCCTATTCTGTTAAGTCTCCCAAATTCCACATAAGAGTTAAAACATATGATATCTGTCTTTTTCTGATTGGCTTATTTCACTTAGCATAATACCCTCTAGTTCCACACATGTTGTTGCAAATAGCAAGATTTCATTTTCATTCTTTTTCACTGCTGAGTAGTATTCCATTTTTTAATTTTTTTAAAAAAATGTTTATTTTTGAGAGAGAAAGAGAGAGAGAGAGAGAGAGAGCGAGTGAGCGCAAGCATGAGTGGGGAAGGGGCAGAGAGAGAGAGGGAGACACAGAATCCAAAGCAGGCTCCAGGCTCTGAGCTGTTGGCACAGAGCCTGACGTGGGGCTTGAACTCAGAAATGGCAAGATCATGACCTAGGCTGAAGTCAGACGCTTAACCATCTTCTTTATCTGTTTATCAGTTGATGGACATTTGGGTTCTTTCCATAATTTGGCTATTGTTAATAGCACTACTATAACATTTGGGGTACATGTGCCCCCATGAATCAGCACTCCTGTATCCTTTGGATAAATTCCTAAAAGTGCTATTGCTGGGTCATAGGGTAATTCTAGACCTGAGGACACCTGCAGATTGACAGTGAGGAGACGGAGAACCATCTATCATGCCGGCGGATGTCAAAAGAAAGCTGGAGTAGCCATACTTATAACACACAGACTAGATTTTAAACCAAAGACTGTAATGAGAGATGAAAAAGGGCATTACATCATAATTAAGGGGTCTATGCATCAAGAAAAGCTAACAATTGTGTTTATGCCCCCAACATGAAAGCACCCAAATATATAAGGAATATATACAAACATAAGGAAACTTATTGATAAAAATACTGTAATTGTAGGTGACTTTAATACTCCACTTACAACAATAGAAAGATCATCTAGGCAGAAAATCAATAAGGAAACAATGGCCTTGAATGATACACTGGACCAGATGGACTTGACAGATATATTCAGAACCTTTTATCCACAAGCAGCAGAATACACATTCTACTTGAGTGCAAATGAAACATTCTCCAAGACAGATCACATACTGGGTCACAAAACAGCCCTCAAAAATATAAAAGAATTGAGATCATACCATGCATTATGTTCAGATCACAACACTATAAAACTTGAAATCAACCACAAGAAAAAATTTGGAAAACCTCCAAATACATGGAGGTTAAAGAGATTCCTACTAACGAGTGAAAGGGACCAGGAAATTAAAGAAGAAATATGGAAGCAAATTAAAACAAAAATGTAACAGGCAAACCCTTCGGGATGCAGCAAAAGTGGTCCTTAGAGGAAAATACATTGCAATCCAGCCGTATTTCAAGAAGCAATAAAGATTCCAAATACAGACCTTAATCTCACGCCTAAAGGAATTAGAAATAGAGCAGGAAAGAAAGCCCAAAGCCAGTAGAAGAAGAGAAACAGTAAAGACAAAGCAGAAATAAACAATACAGAAGCCCCCCCACCCCAAATAACCCACAGAGCAGAACAATGAATCTAAGAGCTGTTTTTTTTTTTTTGAAAGAATAAACAAAGCTGATAAACCCTTAGCCAGACTTCACAAAAAGTAAAGAGAAAGGATCCAAATAGACAAAATCACAAATGAAAGAGGAGAGATCACAACCAACATTACAGATATACAAACAATTATTAGAGAATACTATGAAAAATTTTATGCCAACAAACTAGACAACCTGGAAGAAATGGACAAATTCCTAAGCACGCACACACTAGCAGAACTCAAACAGGAAGAAACAGAAAATTGGAACAAACCCATAACCAGTGAAGATATTGAATAGGTTATTAAAAAATTTCCCAACAAATAAGAGTCCTGGGCTAGATGGCTTTTCAGGGGAACTCTACCAGACCTTTAAAGCAGAGTTAATACCTTTTCTTCTCACTGTTCCAAAAAATAGAAATGGAGGGGCACCTGGGTGGCTCAGTTGGTTAAGCGTCCAACTTCAGCTTAGGTCATGATCTCCCAGTTTGCGGGTTTGAGCCCTGCATCAGGCTCTGTGCTGACAGCTACTGAGAGCCTGCAGCCTGTCTTCAGATTCTGTGTCTCCCTCTCTCTCTGACCCTCCCCTGCGCACGCGCTCTCTGTCTCTCTGTCTCTCTCTCAGAAATAAATAAAACTTTAAAAAAAAAGAAATGGAAGGAAAACTTCTGGGCTCATTCTATGAAGCCAACATTACACTGATTCCCAAACCAAAGACCCCACTAAAAATCAGAATTATGGGCCAATATTCCCAATGAACATGGATGCAAAGATTCTCAATAAGATACTTGCAAATCGAATTCAACAGCATATTAAAATCATATTAAAATAATTAGTCACCATTATCAAGAGGGATACATTCCTGGGCTGCAGATCTGGTTCAATATTCACAGATCAATGTGATACATCACATTTATAGAAGAAAGGATCAGAACCATATGACCCTGTCAACAGATGCATAAAAAGCATTTGACAAAATACAGCATCCTTTCTTAATAAAAACTCTCAAGAAAAAAGAGATAGAAGGAAGACATCTTTTTTTATTTTTATTTTTTTTATTTTGAAAGAGAGAGAGTGGGGGAGGGACAGAGAAAGAGGAAGAGAGAGAGAATCCCAAGCAGACTCTGCCTTGCCAGCGCAGAGCCCCATGCAGGGCTCCAACTCACAAACCAGGAGATCATGACCAGAGCTGAAATCAAGAGACAGCCCCTTAACCAACTGAGCCACCCAGGCATCCCTCTAGATCAGTATTCTCATTTAGTGAGGTAGAAACCCGTTGTTCTTTCCTCCTCTTCCAGGCACAACTTTCTTAACGAAAGATCAAACAGCAGGGTTGGCTGTGATAGAAAACATTACTGAAAGCCTGGAATGGAAGAAAGCTCTTGTTATATAACTGAAACAGTTTGGCCTTTTAGAACAAGTTTGGATTTTTTTTTAGAACAAGTGAATCAAGGGGCTAGAAAACTCAATTCCACTTAGCCTAATCAATGCTGCTTCCACAATCCACTGATACCTGATAGAAAAGTTTTGGTAGAAAGGGATTATGCAGCTATTTGAATTAGTTGATTACTAGATCCCGCATTCATTAATTCTGTATCATGAAATCGTGGCCTTACTGTTCTGGGCCAGTGGTTCCTGACCACTTTTCTTGCCACTACACAAGATGGATGATAGCCATGAGCTCATCTACTCCTGGAGTATTTCCTGCACTTAGGCTGTTAAGAAAAAACACTGAAACACAAGAGAATGAGAAGACAGTTTCACAAAAATAATTTCCAAATCACTGTAACTCCATGACTGTCACATGATGGTGTTTCCAGCCCATTTTCAACTCTGTCCCCCAGAACATTCTACAAAGTCTGGAGATACTTTTTGTTACCAGACCTGGTGGGGGCTGGTTGCTACAGGCAGCTAGTGAGTGGAAGCCTGGGATGACGCTAAGCATCTCCTATCACAGGACAGCCCTCCCACCAACCCTTGAAACAAAGAATTATCTGGTCCAAAATGTTAATGGTACTGAAGTCGAGAAATCTTGCTCTAACTTACAGAAACAATCATTCTGTTTCTTGTCACGATAGAGTCATTGAGAATAGATTTACCTCCTACCTAAAGCAGCTAAAAATTTAGGAAAAAAAAAACTTCTCAAAACACTGGACATCAGGTAATCCATGAAAGTGATTCCTGACAGACGAGCAATAAATGAGGTGAGCCTCATGGTTGCCTCAAGTGAATGTCAGGAGAAACTTTTAAAGTTGTAGCACAGGGAACAAGAACCTACAAAGCACTAGTGCCCTCCCCAAGTTGACAAGATGGAGCTGACAATTCACAAAGGCCAAATGGGCTACAGTCTGCCTGCAAGTATATGGTTTCCTCCTCCTTTCCCTTTCCATATTCAGTTGAATACTGACCACTTCACACATGTGAGGAAACGATTTGAGGCCAGGGAAGAAATCATCCTAGAGGATAAGAGGGGGCAGTGCCCAAAACTCACAGGGAGCCTGGAATAGTACTTGTTCTCAATAGCCAACAGGAAACCTCAAAATTCATCGGTCATTAGAGTCTTTAAAAAGAATCCTGGTTCAGAAATGGGGAAAATTAATCCAAGACTAGACACTGTTTAGTTCTAACTGACAAAACTTAAGAGTAAAACTTGAAAAGAATGAACTGTTTCCAAGTAACTGTGTCTTAGAATAAAGCTCAAGAACATTTTCATGAGGAAAACTACATCAAGACACATTATAAATAGCTAATTGTTCAACACCAGTGTTAAGGAGAAAACCTTTGAAGCAGCTAGAGGGAAAAAAGACACATTATGTACACAGGAGAAGACAAAAATTAGTCCATTTCTCATTATTAAAAAAAGGAATTAGAATGTGAGGAGAAATCTTTAAAGTACTGAAAGAAAAATTTTCAAAATGAAAGTAAATTACTTTTCCATATATAAGAAAGTTCAAAGAATTAATCACCAGCAGACTTGCACTGTAAGTCAAAGAAATCTTTCAAGAAGTAAAATATTTCGTCAAGACAATGAAGAACATTGGAAATGATAACTACTTGGATAAGTATATAACATTTTCTCATACTTAAATTTCCCTAAAAGGTAACTGTTAAGGCAATAATTATAATAGCAATTTACTGTGGGATTTACAATACATATAGAAGCAAAATGTATGACAAGAAATAGTCTAGAGCCAGGAAGGGAGCAAGAGAAGTATACTATTAGAAGGTTCATATAGTATGCATGAAGTGATACAGTATCACATGTGGACTGTGGTAAGATTAAAGATGTCTACTTTAACTCTGAAACACAAAGGTAACTGGAGTTGATTTCATATTCCATCTTTAATTATTTGGCCCTATATACTGTTAAGATGCCTAGATGTGATAGCAAAGGGGGTTTGAAAAGAAAAGAGAGAAGTTGTTTGATGCAGAGAACAAAATAATGCATACCAAGATGTTACTCCCCTCGAGAAGAATCCTAATAGTAAAAGGGTGTTGACTGAAAAGTCAAAATTTGATTTTGAAGTCATACAAAATAGTCTTATTATAGAAGAGACCAGGGAAGTTTTGGAAAAGAGTATAACAAGCTAGAATACCTGGGTTTAATGATTATTAAAGCTGTGTTTGAAAATGTTTCTATAATTATTGTATCATTTGTTATTAATCACTTATAGATTCAAATGAAGAATAAAACTCTTGATTTAAATTAGCATAAAAAGAATGACATGAATACTAAGGTATTCAGATAAAGAAAGTTGGCTTGATGACTCATTCTTTTGTTCAATCTACAACAGAAAACAGTCCTATTATTCTTCTGAGTTATAAAGAACCACCCCAGAAAGTGACGGTTTATGATTTTGGTATTCTGGAGTCCTATCAATGCTCATTTAATTTGGCAATACTTCTTCCATTTTTGTAGAACACATTAAAGTTAAAATTATAATTATGAAAATAAATTTTATTTTAGAAGTTTTGGAGAATTTTCTTACATGCCCCTGTGATGCCCAAATGTACCCTAATGCTTGACAAATTCATAATTGAAAACCCAGGCACCATTTATTCCCGACCCATACGAAAAATTAGCCAATTCTATGACTAGTACAAACTATTTTTATTCAATTAGGAATTCGTTAATGATGTAAACTATGATACTGAACAAATTTGCCTGAGGCAATTTTATATCTTATTAAGGTTATTAATTGATAATGAAATTATGTTTTAACAAAACTTACAAAGCTGAGCATCTGCATGGAGAGTCCCTCCTTTAGGATTCAGTTTCTGGGTTTGAATTGCAGGAATGGGTTTATATGACTGACCAGTGGCCCTGTACATGGCCTGAACCCATAATACTCTATCCTGTTCGTCATCACTGGCAAATATCACAGTGTCTCCTTCTTTAACTGCATTAAAGAACATCTGTCCACCTTGAAGCCCTGTGGAGAAAGACAGCATTAAAAAACTTATGTAGTTGGTAGGTTTTTAAAGCTCATTCACTAAATGGTCTCGTGGAAAAGAATCAGTTTGACATCAGTAGCTCAATGCTACTAGTAAAAGTTTACACTTGCATATTTTTTTAAAAAAGTTGAAAATAGCCTAGGGAAATGAACAGTTTGTGACACGGTAACATTATGCAAGCCATACAAACCTACTCCATAGAAATATTTAGTGTGGCCAGAAAGCTCATGCCCGAGAAGAAAGTCTTCTCTTTTGGCACATTCCTAATGCTGGATGCAGGAGAAATATATGGTAATTTTAGCATAAAAGAAATACAGGTAAGGCAAAAATGATGCCTGTATCTGTATGGCATTTTATCCTTTGCAAGAGATGACATTTTGCATTTTTCAGTGACCAGTTAGTGAATGTGATTACAGATTCCTACTTTTCATCTCTCTATATGAAATTTTAACCCTTTATTTATTAACTCTATGTATCCCTTAATGTTGCTTTATTAGCTTCATTAATGTCCACATTCATTCATTCTTTCACCAATTTTAGACATCAAATGTCTAGTACATACCTAGTGTTAATATAGAGGTAAGGAGCGAAGGATAAGAATGTGCTACCGGGGAAAAAATCGGAGGTCTACATAAAAGTTCATTTGCCATTTCTTTCCCTATTTCTGTCTTGTACTTTTTTGCCTTCCACTAAAGAAGTTTATGTAAGCATTGCTGATATTTCTCATAGAATTTTTCCATTACCATAACTTTCACTATTGCTTCCTTGTCCTAAAGATAACAGAAATGATGAGTTTAGCCTAAAGCTAAGTAGTCCTCAGAAAGACAGAATCTGAAGCTCATGAAGTCTTGTCCAGGTACATCAGTGAAATATGCATCCTATTCATTGAGTGGAGCTTGGATCGTAGAACAGAGATAGGATATTTATGAGAATTTCACGAATATATGGCAGAGAAAGAGATTCAGCTTACAATTACCTGGGTGGGGATCAGTATAATCCACAGTGTATCCTTCAAGCTGCATTAGTTCTTGTGGTTCAGACTTTTTTTCTCTATAACTGCACATAGCGAAGGTGTACTGGCTAACCTGCACGAGAAAAGGTTTGCAGATCGCTTGCATTAAATTTCCTTTATTTTTTATCGGAGGACTCTTTGCCAAATTTTAAAAATAATAAGATTTGCTTAAAAATCAATAGATGTCAGCATTTTCCAAAAACTAACTCAGAAATGAAAGCAACTTTCCTCTGCCAGCTTGCAGTTAGACCCTTCCCAAACTAATGATCTTCTGGCCAAGATCCTATGAGATATTAATAGAAGTATCATAAAAAAGCATTTGTGTTAAAAATACATTTGACGAATCACTGGGTTAAATAAAGATAAAAAGGTTTCTTCTACTGAATGTTTGGTTAGGGCCTTTAGTAGGCTAATATACTTTATGAATCTCTAAGAGTAAGATGTAACAGGAGCATTCTCAAACATATATGATCATGGACTACAGGTTAAACCGCACTTATTTCTAGACTTTAAAGTAAAAAAAATAAAATAAGTTTTCAGGGGCATCTGACTTCGGCTCGGGGCATGATGTCATGGTTTGGGTTTGAGTTCGAGCCTGCATCAAGGTCAGCACAGAGGCTGCTTCGAATCCTCTGTCCCTTTCTTGCTTTGCCCCTCCCCTGCTTGCATGCATGCACATGCCCCCCCCCCCAAAAAAAAAACAAATAAACCATCCCAAAACAAACAAAAAGATTTCAATAAAAGTTGGGAATTTAACTTTTAAATTAATTGCCTACATAAGCAAACCCACAGGAAGGTCCAGGGTGGAATAAGTTTTTGGGAGCCAGTAACTTATCACTGCCAAGACCACTCAGTCTCTCCATTCTACTTCTCTTTTGAAACTGGCTTCATTTTCTTGTGCTGTAGTCTCAGTGACCTAGAACCATAGTTGCCAATAGCTCTTCAGTCACCTCTCTGACTGCCCCACCTTAAGTCTAAAGGACATATTTGGACCAATCACCGTGGCGAAGGGGTAGAACTAACATTAGTCCAGTTTGGGTCAAGAGCTTACATTTGTGGCAAAGAATGTCAAACGCTACACTAGGTGGCCTCTGAGAGTTTCCCCCAAAATAGAGAGGGGAGGTGCTGTTCCCAGCAGGAGAAACACTTCACACTGGTGGATTGATTAACACTTAAACTGCAAAATATCCTAGAACACAGGAGTCCATGGAAAACAGTTTGGGTAATGTGAATTATGCTCCTTTCCTACTTTTAAACATAAACGAAACTAAGAAAACATAAAAAAAATACCTTTCAACAGACAAAGATTAAAGAGGACTCAAAAGAGAGCTAATTATGGGGAAAAAAAATCACATGGACTATGTTAAAGTTAAGAAATTCTCCTTATTAAAGCACACGACAAAGAAAGTAAAAAGGCAAAGCCACAAACTAAAAGAAGATGTGTACAAAATATATTTACAACAAAGAACTAGTGTCTATCAACACGGGCTGACAGAGAAGAGCAACAATTGAGCCTAACTAGAGAAGAGGTGATTGTGCTTCCAGACTGCGGCATCACCTCCTGTCTGAGTTTCCCGCCTGCTGGAAATGTCCTAGTATATAAGGCTCACTGTTTATTATGTAATCCCTTTGATCCAGCAAATCTAAGAACGTATTATTCCAAGTAAGCAAATGGGACAAATATTCAAAGATACATGTGTGGCGCGTTCACTGCAGCACTGAATACAAGCAAAAACTGGAAAAACCAATAGTGGTTTTGACCACAAAGTATAATGCTACTCAGCCATCAAAGCACTTACGACAGATTTTTTTTTTTCAGGACATGGAACTATTTCAAAGATATAACATAAAAATCAGGTGAAAAACAAAAATGTGCAGTTGCTTCTTTGGATAAACACTGTACACACATATGAACAAAATACAGATTAAAATATTTATACTAATTACTGGAAAGTGCTATTATGGGGGTACCTAGGTTGCTCAGTTAAGCTTGACCTCAGCTCAGGTCTCCAAGCTGGGTGTGAAGCCTACTTAAAAAAAATTATATATATACACATGTGTATATACATGTAAGAATGTGCTATTATGCGCTTATTTTCACAGTGTTTGAGTTTTCCAAAACAATATGAATTACGTTTAAGAAAAACATTTTTTTAAGTCATCTCTATGCCCGGCCTGGGGCTCAAACTTATGACCCTGAGATTGAGAGTCTACTGATTGAGTTAGCCAGGTGCCTCTGAATTACATTTTAATGAGGAAAAATGAATACAGCTGTTTCCATTTTGGAAAAAAAAACTATACACATACATACATATAGATACATATATATGTGTACACACACACACACACACACACACACACACACACACACCAAGCCTTGTTTGGGACTAGTGAGGCAAATGACTTTATTTGTACACCTGCGGTTCCTGTACTCTTAAATTTTCCGTTTCTTTTTTTTACCCTCAATGAATTAACTTTTTCAATTGCCTATGCATAAGGCTTACAGATGAAATATGGTGGCTTCTATGGTGGTCTGTTACTCAAGGTTTCAGCTTCCTTGGGTAAAAAGACTGGATTGTGAGGGGTCTGGCAGGGTTTGGGAGCAGTGTGGCGGTGGGTGGTCAACAGTGAGATTATACTTCCATTATTCATTAAAAAAAAAAAAAAGCTCATTCTCTTACTTAAGGGCAATAACTTAGTTCTAAGTCTCATATTCTTCCATAATATGATTTAATGTAGTGTAACCTTAAAAATATAAAATATTTCAAGCATATACAAAGGTACAATATATTAATATATCTATACCCATCATCCAGCTTTGCTGAATCACAACTTCTTGTGTGTATGTGTGTATACATACATACATGTATGTATATGTACACATGCATGATTTACAGAGTTTTTTCTGGATACAGTTAATGTCTCTGTGTGTGTGTATATATGTGTGTCTTTGTATATATATGTGTGTTTGTGCGTATATGTATATACATATATACATACACATACATATGTACATACACATATACACACACACACATTTACATTCAAACCCATTTTTCTTTTCTCTCTCCACAGAGGTAATTGCCACGCTGAATTTTGTCTTTATTATTTCCATGCATGTTTTTACAACTTTTTTTTTTTTTTACATAAATTTTTAGGTTCCTAGACCCAATTCCAACGTGTTGTATATACAGGCAGGGTGGTTTCCACACCAGTAACAAGCAATGGTCGGGACTCTGGCTGGGTATCCTATAATAGGCTCAATTCTGACACTATCTATCCCAAGACAGCATGGAGAATTCAAATAGGTCAAGCATTCAGTCCTACAAGACTGGCCTTCCCTCATTCCCCCTTGGATGCCAGTCATAAGCCCAGGCTGTAACCTACAGATTGGAGGTTCTTACCACACTCTGTCCCTGTGCTTCGTTGTTTTTTTTTTTTTTTTTAAGTTTGTTTATTTATTCGGGAACGGGGTGCAGAGACAGAGGAAGGGAGAGAATCCTAAGCAGGCCCCATGCTGTCAGCACAAAGCCTTACTGCAGCGGCTCCAACTCACAAACCCTGAGATCATGCCTGGAGTTGAAATCAAGACTTAGAAGCTTAGCTGACTGGGCCACCCAGATGCCCCTCTCTCTTTGTACTTCAGATGCTAGTCCAAATTAGTACCTGTATTTCAAACAGGCTACAGATCAGGGATTCCCACAACCTCCTCTCTAAATCTTCCATCTGTTCGCCAACCTGAAAGCTCTCTCAACCCCCTTATTTTGTTTTGTTCTTTTTATAGAGGTTTCATTACAGAGGCATGCCTGATTAAATCATTGGCTGGTGACAGTCTATTCAGCTTCTAGCCCCTGGCTCCTCCCCCAAGTCTGGGAGGGTTTGGGGGTAGCTGGGAGTGAAAGTTCCAATTCTTATCATACTGTCGATTCTCTAGGCAAACAGCCCTCATTCTTAGGTGGGCTCTAAAATCACCTCATTAACGTAAGAAAAGACAGCTTTATCACTCATTAGGAAAGTACAAGGATTCTATGCTAGAATGGGCATAAAGACGAAGTATGTATTTAACATAAATCACAATCACCACATAGGTGAATTAAGAAACTCAAGTATTCATTCACACATTTTAGTATTTTATATGAATAAATCATATACATTCCTTTTGCCAACTTCTTCTCCCAAAAGTTCAACAAGTTTAGCCATCTTGATACATATTCTGTTATCTGAATGGCCACACTTTACCCAATGTCCTGATGATGCCTTCAGTTTCTTCCCCTTGCTGCCATTAAAAAATAATGCCACATGGGGCGCCTGGGTGGCTTAGTCGGTTAAGCGTCCGACTTTCGCTTAGGTCATGATCTCGCGGTTCGTGGGTTCGAGCCCCGCGTTGGGCTCTGTGCTGACTGCCAGCTCAGAGCCTGGAGCCTGTTTCAGTCTGTGACTCCCTCTCTCTGACCTTCCCCTGCTCACGCTGTCTCTCTCTCTCTCTCTCTCCTAGAAATAAATAAAAATATTAAAAAAAAAAATAATGCCACAATGGTCATCCTTGCACACATGTTAGAGCTGCGTCAGGGGCTACAGCCGGGGTTGGAACTGATAGGCTGTAGGGCATGTGTATCTACATCCTCACTAGACTTTGCAGAACAACTTTCCAACCCATACATACAACAGTGGTACCTGAAGGTTCCTGGTACTACCCATCTTTGCTAAACTTGGCATTTTGAGGCTTTATATTTTACCAGTTTTGATGAATGGAAAATGGTGTATCAATATTCTCTGAGTTTACAATTCTCATTACTAATACAGCTGAGCATTTCTTCATATTTTTATTAGCCACTTGGGATTTTCTTTTCTGTGGATTTCTTTTTTAAACAAGTTTGTTCATTTTTTATCAGAATGTTATCAGTCATTCAAATCCCTTTTCCATAATCAGTTTTGCTATAGCTTTATTTACTTTTTTGAGCACTTGCAAGGAATAACTTTGCATTTAGTTATTCTTCTCTATTCTTTTTTTTTTTTTTAATGTTTTATTTATTTCTAGGAGAGAGACAGCGTGAGCAGGGGAGGGTCAGAGAG